GTTTTATTTGATTACTACTTTTATTTTTCGATTTTATGATTGTATTGTATTTTATGACTGTGTGCAGCACTTTGGTCCTGTCAGTGTTTAAAGTGCTTTACAAATAAAGTTGGTATGGTTCTTCTCTCYTCTCAGTAGGAGATGGTTGTTTACAGCACACACAATTTACAGTTAGCTTCTTAGCTTAGCTTCCTTCACTGTCAAGCTGGCACACTGCATACTCACGGCCAAACGTTAGCGATTGGGTAAAACCAGGTCCAATCGTTTTAAAATTTCCACAGAGTCCACGCCTCCAGCAGGCAACTGCTTCTCAACAGCTGAGAGTCCAGACACTTTGTACGAAGCAAAGAACAAGGGGCTGTTTTTTATTTTTATTTTTGCCAGGCTGCAAAATTGCAACACCTCATATTCTCAGCTGGTGCAGTTCACTTTCACACTGCACTGTGTCAAACGAACCAAACCCTTTGACTCCGGCTCCGTATGACGCGGCGTGCACTGAGGTGGGGCATATTATCGTAGGGATGTCGACCTTATACAGACATTAAGCAAGGTATATAAGCAACTTTATTACTGTTATTACACAGAATATCCTGCGCTGTAGTCCACTTCCTGCATTAGAGCGGTCTCCRGTCCACTCGGCATTTACACATGCATTCAAACCYCACCAGAGTTCACTTCAACCAAGCCAAGGTGACCAGAGTTTGCTTTTTTTTTGTTCCATATCAGAGTTCAGTTATGCATTCACACCTCCCCAAGTCAATTGGACTTTCTGGGTAAACAAACTAGAGTTTGATTAATGCGGATAGGGCTGTTGTGAATACACTCAAAGGGCCTATATTATGTGTTTCTCAAGCATATATTTAAATATTATACCATAATAAAGTATCTATGTCACCTTTAGTTGTTATTAAAATGCTGTTTTTATGTTTAAATTGAAAATAAACTTATCTTCTCATCACTTCCTCTTCTAAACACCTTGAAATTGGTCTGTCTCTTTAAGAACCACCTTCTGCTACTGTTCCGTCCCATTCGGTGTGTGTGTGTG